CTATTCAAGCGTTTACTGTGTCATGTTACAAAGAATACAGTTTTCAGTTTCAATGATCGTCTATACAGACAGACAGACGGATGTGGAATGGGTAACCCTCTCTCTCCTGTCCTTGCTAACATCTTTATGGCTAAATTGGAAGCAGATGTAGTCAGACCATTCAACCCGCCTTTCTACGATAGATACGTAGATGATATTTTCTCAAAAAGGAAACTAGATGAGCCAGACCGCCTACTTGAAAAGATGAACGAATACCACAAAAACATCAATTTCACAGTCGAAGAGAATCCCGATCATTTCCTCGACACGACTTTTTCGTATGAAAACGACAAATTCAAGCGTCATGTATATCGCAAACCAGGAAAGTACCCCATTCACTGGTCATCACAARTACCAACTAAATGGAAAAGAAATGCAATTAATGGAGYTCTTCACAGAGCGTATCGTATCTCAACAAATTTCGACACAGATGTAAACACGATCACTAATGTCTTTTTACAAGCTGGATACCCTAAAAGTTTCATCCAATCTTCTATAAATAACTTTCTACGCAAACAGGAGGAAGAAGAAAAGCTAATCCCGGACTATCTTTTTGATGAGGATCAACGCAAGAAAATTTTCGTAAAACTACCATATTGTACGGATAATGAACAGCTCTCTCGCCATTTTCTGAAGAAACTTAATAATCTAACTGATGGAAAGTACATGTTTATCATTCTATGGCAAACTAGAAAGATTAAAAGCCTATTTAAACTCAAGGACAGAAACTCAGTAGTCCTCAGTAGTATATAAAGCGGAATGCTCGTGCGGTGAAACATACATCGGAGAAACCATAAGAAATTTCGAAGTTCGCAAGACTGAACATGAAGACCCGTCACACAATTCCCAACCAGCACGCCACATCTCAAGTCATCCGAATCAAGCCTACACCTGGAACATCATTCACAAAGAAAAATCAGAATTCAAACTTAAAATGATAGAAGGACTCATTATCGCACGCGAACAACCGACACTTAACAAACAAGTGAAATGCTTTATTGCAAATCTTTATCCCTCAGGGATATCTTAGCCCCCTTATAAATGCAAACATGTAAATTTTTAGACACAACTGAAGATGACTCATAGTCGAAAACGTTTTTAATTTCATAACACTATCTATATATTTTCATCCTTGTACATAATAATAGTGAGATTCTTTATATAGTATGTTTGTTTCAATTTTTTATATGTTAGTGTGATATTGTTTTATTTTGAAATCATAGTGATAAAATCAATGATCCTCATTGCTATAGAATGGTACAAATTAATCCCATATAGATATTTTTTATCAGATTGTTACTGTACTATTTTCTTGATAATTGATCAATACTTATTAAAAGGACATATAATTGCATGTATCTGTACATTCACCTACCAGAACTAACCATTTCAGCATTTTTGTTTAGATGAAAAAATGTTTGTAGCCATTGTTGTTGGTTTTTATCCAGCTGTTTTACCAGTTTTCCTTTTTCCTTTTCATGCCTCTGGCATTGTGAACATTTGGGTACTGGAGATACCTATATTAAACATTAGACTCAATTATATTGTCTGAGTACATCTTCACTAATGCTAGGATATCACATTTTAGTAGGATAAATTATTAAGATGGATACAAATAACAAATAAAAAGAGTATATATTGATAGAGGGTATAATACAATCCTACTTTGCTCTGAAGTAAGAGAGGTCAATGTGATGGATAATTATTCCAGTGCTTTCTATCATTGCAAGCTCAATAGTCATCTCAGTTTGTTGCAAAGCACGCTGGGTCAACTGTCTCAAGTTTTAGATCATCCGGTTGAAGCCACATTCCATTGTCTAGACCGGGTTATTATAACAGAGGACTGGGAACGATTTTGCAAGGCTATATAAAGGGCTCGCTAGAGCTTTCGGGATAGGTTGATTTGATTTCTGGCAGGACGAACCAAACAGTGGAATAAATAACCTTCAATTTGATACCAAAATGACTGTATTTGCTTAAATTCATGATTAGTTGGACGGCATAGAACTAGGCGAATGAATACCACCTATATTATGTAGCAAAAATTACACCTTTTCGGCTTCAATAAACTTTTTTATTTCAATGTATATCTGTTCGAAGTCTATTGATTCCAGCTCTTCAAAGTTGAGGTAAGAATCGTATCTTTTTGATTTTGCATTATATTGTGAATACATTAAATTATTTCGCTAAATTTAACAAGTACTCGTCATGCGGCTGACGGCTAAGTTCGACACTTTACTATGTGTATGGAGTGGTTATGACAAACAGGCACATTTTGAAGCGTTTCTTAAACGCCTTTCTTAAACGTAATAGCCAAAGACATATGACCAAAGTAACAAAAGAA